AAACAGGGACCCCCACTGGAATAGGAACGACCAGTGAAAAAAGATTTGTAAATGCCGTGAATACCACTATTATATAATAGCAGCAGACGTGGTGGCCGTGGTATGATACCTTTTCTGGTGAAACGAGGAAGTTCTTCTTAGACGGGATCTTGACGCGACCGTTGAAGTTGAGCGTCCAGGCGTGCAGAACCTCGTTCCAAGACGGGCTAAGGGTCTCGAAAGTGATGATATCGCTCCCCTCCTGTCCAACAGGGTGGCGACAATGAAACGCGCCATCAAAAGTGTGGTAGTGTGCAACCTCCCACTCAACACGATCAATGCATCCCTTCATATATGCATATGTCCTCATCCAACCCCAATACATCCCTTCATCTGCATGCTACATCAATGCTCATCTTGCCGCAGTATTAGAGCTATTAATAATAAGGTGCGAGATCACGTGTTGGTGTTGGACCTAGTGTTAAGTGTGAGAGTTACAGTGTTCGTGTTCTTGTGAAAGTTGTGAGAGCTAGAGTGAAGTGTCAGTGCTGACGGTAGTGTTGGTGGTAGAGCTAACGGTCAATGTCGCGCTAGTGTAAGTGTTAGCGTTGGAGCCAGTGTTTCAAGTGTCATTTTCAAGTATCACGAGTTAGTGCTTAGTGTAGCGTTTCAGAGTAAGTGTTGAGTGATGGTTCTAGTGTTATCACAGAGCTCGTGCTGAGTGTCAAAGTAGCGTTTCAGAGTTAGTGTAGAATGATGGCTAGAGAAAGTTAGTGTCCTCACCGATCCGAGAGTAGCGTAGTGCTGCTGGGCCCTCTGTTCTTCTGGGTCGTCCGATGACTCGAAGTTCTTGAAGATATTTCGGAACGTCTTGAGAGGAGAGGACGGTCGAAACGCTGGCTTGTGCCGGTTCTGAAGAAGATGACAGCAGTGACAAGACAGGAGTGACAGAGCGAAAGCGGAGCAAGGAGAGACTTGTTGGGAGGATACTTCCTGCAGACAGTTATCCAGAGAAGCTAGATATCGCAACACTAGCACTATACACAGCGGTTACGCGGGATACATGTTCTGCTTAATAACAACACTAAGGATACCAACGTCGCGTAAACGCTCATCATCACTCGCAAACACTACCTTCACGCACTTTTCTACCAAGCACAAAGCGGCGAAATACGGGCCTTGGGTCCGGACCAATTACCAAATACACATTACAGTTACGGACTGCCACACCCGATCGCACCTCACGGCGCCCCCTTGAGAACGTTCAACTCCAACGCACCTTTCCGTCCTCCCAGCGCTTAATGATTGGCTCGTCCCACACGCCCCTTTCCATGCTCACACCCCATTGGCCGCCCCCCTCCCCCTCCCCTCCCCCTCCCTCGCCGTCGCCCCCGCCGCCGCCATCGTCATTGTCAGCCGTTAAACCGTCGGAGCCACTGGATTGCGAGGCGATGGGTCTCCTCAGCAGCACCTTCATCGCGTTCGGTACCCTGAAAGCCGGTTCGTGTGCCCGCAAGCGCGGGGGTGTTCAGGGGGAGTGGATGAGCAGCGCCAACACGCCAGCAGTCAACAGCTCAGAAAGCTCGCCACGAAAAAAAGGTTGTCCCTCCCTCCTACCACCAAGATACAAGAGAAGGCTGTGCGTGTACACCAACAGCGTCAACAAACAAACAGATCATAACCCAAGCCACGAAAACAGGCTGTTCCTCCTTTCTGCCAGCTGTTGTCGACAAGCAAAAGAGGGCTGTCTATTGGTAGCATAAAACGATATAATGTATATCGTGTTTCGGCGAAGCCGATACACGATACAAGAACATCTATACATTTGTGTTGGCTGGTCGTTAGCGGTGCGGGCCGTTCGGGCGTTCTTCTCTCCTTCTGCGTCCGGGACTTTGAGACTTTGAGAGCCTCTCGGGTTCTCTGCATCTTGCGGCAGGCTTGCGTCTTGCACTCTCGGAGTCTTTCACGTTCTCTTCCCGGGGCGGTCGCGCTAGAATATTCCCGATATGTTGGCGAAGCCAACATATCGGGATATCGGCGAGCGAAGCGAGCCTCCCTCAGCCCCCCCCGGCTGAGGGGGCCCCGCCGGAGGCGTATTTTTACGCGATTTGGCTTCACTAGAGCTATTTTTTTGGGCGATTTTGGGCCTCTCAGATGATGCCGGACTCGAGTGCGAAACACAAAAAAATGAAGTTCGTAGTGGAAAATCAGAAATATTGTTGGGGAAATTTCCTTGATGTACACACTGAACATATTCATGAACAAGCTGCTCTGAAACACCTTGCTAGAACCAAGGAGAAAGCAGGTTTCAGGTTTCACAACCCATCCTCCTTCCTCTAGCCTCCGTCCTCACTTTCATTGAAACATCGTACGCAAATAAAAAGGCAGAACAAACCCAGAACCCAAACCCAGCACAATCTCACAATCTCATGCAACCCAGCCTCACGCTGAGCAGACCTTCCGGTACTAACCGATGTTCGCAAGCAAGATGCATGCCACAGCCAAAAAGAAATTTAGAAATGTAAGTTCGTTAGGTTTCCGACTCTTCTAGACGCTGACGACAAAACTTGAAACCAGCAACCAGGTGTGCAGGTAAGATCTAACAGTAACGGACCCTCCGTCGTCGCCTGCTGCTGGCTGGTCACTCATGGCGTGCTAACTCTGCTGTTGCTGTACCCTGTCTGCCAGCGTCTGCGCACACAGCACCTGTGCTGTGCGGTGCTGTACGGGGGCTCCGTGTGCTATATAAATGATTCACGGAGCCCCTTATGCATTCACAGAACCCCCCCAGAATATCGTAATATCGACATCCCCCACGGTAGATATACGATGTGATATATATTGGTCCGATACTTTTGAACACATCGTTACCGATACACAGCCCTAAAAAGAAGGCTCTTGCTGTACACCAACAGCAGCCATCAACCAATAGCTCAAGACACCAAGAGAGGCTGCTCCTACCAACGTACCCTACGCACCTAGTAGCCTGCGCTCGAGAAACAATAGAAGGATCTTCCTACTCACCAACAGCGCCAACAGCTCAAGACTCCAAGAGAGGCTGCTCCCCCCTCCTACCCTACGCACTCAGCAGCGTTCGCTCGAGAAACAGCAGAGGGCTGTTTTCCTACACACCCTCCTCAAACAATCAATTGGCGAGGGAAACATTTTTGAAGGCTACTTATCGCAAAGTAAGGAGGAACAATTGGTGGTTGGTCCTGTGGGAACAATGCCCGGCCCGGTCCTCCCGAGGACGCATGGTCAATGGTCTAACCGCAAAGGCACGCAAAACATGACCCCCCCACCCCCAATTTTTTCCAGTCTGCGGACTCGCCTGCCCATGACGTTCGGCTCGTACACCACCGCAGAGAGCTCGTTCCTCCCCTTCTCCTTCACGTACTCCATCGCGGCTGAGTCACGAGGATCCACCCTGTGGTCCAGCTGGCGGAACTCTGTCCCCAGCAAGTTCGGAAACATGCACCCCAAGTACACCTGAAAGAAAAAAATCGTTCCGATTTTTCAAGCAAAAAAAAACAAGGGAGACAATGCAAAAATGAACCCCAAGTACACTAAAGAAAAATGGTGGTTCCGATTTCACAAAGACAAAGGAGGCAAAGGAAGCCTGCATCTACACCTGGAGAAAAAAAAAAAATCCGACTCCAAACAATTCAGACTCCAAAAATATCCGACTCCAATTATTATTGAACAAGAGGAGGAAGCAAAGGGAGGCGTTCTTGATGCTGCCTGGGTGTAACGAAGGGAGTATTGGCGACAAGGAATTGATCTGTAACAGTCATGTTCTTCCTTCGGCAACCAAAACATAACACCTTCGAGAAGCTGAAGCAAAAATCTTCCTTCGGCAAACAGAAAGATGACAATCATGGGTACGCTATAGGAGCTATACATGTCCTTCCTTCTACAAACAGAAAGATGACAGTCCCGCCGTGCACAAAACAAAAACCTCACACCAGCACGAAAAAACGCTCGGAGATTGCTCAACGAGTACACAGCACCCAGCGTCATGCCTAGGTAACCCCAGTCTCCAAAAAACGTTGAGCCATTACTGTGACATCGATAGATAACATGGTCCCTCCAATATCAGAGGATTGGCACGCGGATGCGAAACGTGGTGCGTGTTCGATGCGGATTGCCATACGGATGCGACCGCGGCTACAGAGTTGAGCCATTTACTTTGACATCGATAGACAACATGGTGCCTGTCCAAGATCATGCAGATTGCCATGCGGATGCGAATCGCCGGTTCCACTCACGGCGCTGTCTGAGCTGGTGGGGATGTCCTTCAGCTCTCGAAGGTGGGTGTCCTGAAGAGTGTGGAAAAGCATCGGCCCTGCATGACGAAGCACCGCGGACAGAAGACCAGGCCCGAGAAACACACGAGAAAGTTAGTAGACCTAGATAACGACATCCAGTGTAGTACCCGCACCAGCCACACCGCAAAAGCCAAGAAAGGCTTGGAAACTCCAGGTTTCGATGCGGATATGAAATGAAGGCTGTTTGGCTAACAGAAGCAAGGTATTTCGTACAAGTGACCGTGATACGTACACACCCACTGACTTCCAAATGTCGGCTTCTCCGCAGCCAGAAGGCTTCCAATGCCGAAAACGGTGGTGGTGGGAAAACCTCGTCGAGAGTGACCTTCGTACGCGCCGGAAGTTTGTCGAACCCTCTTCGTCATGGTGGACTAATCGGTGGTGAATTAATCGGGCTTTGAAAGGTAGTCTAGGGTGTACGTCTGTATTGACTCGTACTGCGACCGGTAGAACCGGCGAAAAACGAGAAAGGAAAACGCCAACGCCAGCATCACCACCACCAGTCAAGACGAGGCCTACTCTGCCGGCAGAGACAAATGCCACCGGCTAGGCCTGGCTCAAACCATCCAGAGAACCGCAGAAAAACATGATACATGGTCCCACGATTATTGCTCGTGGGGCCGCAGTGTAGTGCCGTTGTGGATGGACAACATCTCCCATTACCTAAGACGTTTTGACAAAAGGCAGGCCAGAATGCTGTCACAATCACGCAGTAGCCGCGTTCGCGAACAAGAGCAACGTCAGTCCCACACTAGGGCCGCGAACCACACGCAAAGACCATGCTTCTTTCTTCGCGTCGCCACAGCTGGAACTGCTGCTGTACCTTGGAGGTTTGCGTCGACAGAGCACGCTAGAAGGAACTCCCCCGTGTCGTCCCTGTTCAAGTGGAATGATGTTACGTGTTCGCCTCGATGGCGCTCCAAGGAACAGTACACCTGACGCAAGGACGTATCACATGTTGAAACATGCCGGTAAGGAAGAGCCACACACATCGACCATTCACACGGTCAAGGCATTGACAAACACGTACAACCCGTCCTACCAAACATGACAACAGACGTATTCCGCCATGATTGCTGTGGCGAAAGCCATCACCAACTCGGACTTTTCTTGAACACCACCACCATCGACATCTTCTTCCAGAAACCAAGACAAAAAACACGGTAACCCTTTGCAGCAGACGCCACCGCAAAGAAGACACTTCTTCTATTGTTTATTCTTTTTCTTTCTTCTTTTTTCTCACCATGTCTTCCGACGGTGGCGGCGGTCTGTAATAGCGAGCCTTCTGCTGGTGTATAAACCACCGCGCCTCAAGCATCTCGCTGTTTTCCATCCCACCATCCCACCATCCATCCCATCGTTCCACCAAAAGCCGCCGCCATGTTCCCGTGATGTTCCCGGCAATTTTGTCATCCCATATTTTAGTCCGTCGCCACGTTGCCATGAAACAGTTGAAGAACGATAAAATACATAACAGACAGGCGCACGGCACGTTTTGGAGCAAGCACACCAAGCAACAACATCTACCATGTTCAACAATAAGTGTCCTTCCTAGCTAGGTGCGACAGTCCCACAACTTTACACGCACCCAATGGGAACCGAACACTGCCTTCTTCTCTTCTTGAGGCAGACTGCTGTATGTAGCCCTTCAAGGCTTATGTCGACACATAAACACTGGAAGAAGCGTGTGGAACGTGCACGTACAGCACACAGCAGCGGGCAGCAGGTGAGGCGACCAGCACATCAATTCTAACAACGCCGGAGCGTGATGCCCGGTGCTGCTGTGTCCCGCCCAAGACTAGGCGGAGCCTTCATGGCACGACGTCGATTTCTCAACGACTACCTGAGGCCATGCCTTGACTACGGGTACAAGCAATTCGGCTAAGACAAGATCTATTCTGTTCGCATCAACCCCCCCCCCCAACCTGTCCTTGGAGACGAGGACAAGCAATTCGGCAATGACGAGCCCGAACAGGGTATTTCAGTTTGCCTCAAACCACCCTCACCTGTCTTCTGCCCTTGGCTTGTTTTCCTCCCCGGTTCCGGCCGTGAAAGTCAGTCGAATTTGGCCCCGCTCCCTACACGCGTCCCGTACAACTCCTGTTCGGGGATAGGGATAGGGAAGGGTATGTAGTAACGGTAAAAAAAAACGTGAGCTTGACGGTGGGGCAGCAGTCTAACCCCGTTCCTGCCACGTCTCTCGTACAACTCTTGTTCGGGGATAGGGAAAGGGTACAGTAACGGTTGAAAATATGTGAGCTTGAGGGGACTAGTCTATCCCCGCCCCTGACACCGCCTCCCATAGAGCTCCCGCAGGGGGAAAGGGTGGTCGAGCTATGATGGCGTGGTCTCCTCTTCCAGAAGCAAGGTTTACTTCAATCAGAGGGTTGACAGTACTGCCTCTTGGGGCGGTTTTCCCGTCAACTGCATCGGAGAATTCCTCCGACATTATATCCCATCTCATTTCCCTACGGTAAGGCACTATACCGGCTCAAAACTTTGACCACTGTCAACAATAGGTCACCGCTTCGTGCCTGACAGAATCAGTGCATAGGCGTAAAACAGACTCAAAATAAGCCCAGCACCCAGCCGGTTTCCCTCCACTCACTGCTGTAAAGACTTCGACACACCCCCTTCGACTGCTGTGGTTATACCTCGAAAGGGTAGTCTTTCTGTGCTGATATGTATCTTTCCGCGTACTCGGAGCATTCTGCGACCGTCACTCAACGCCGTCACGTCCGAAACACATCTTCCACCACCCCAATGACCGCCCACGGAGAGGTTGGACCGTGGATCGAGCGCTTCATCTCGTCTGGCACCTGACGGTACTACTGCTGCTAGGTGGACAACACTATCTCACCAAACGTGCTCGGAAAGCCAAGCCCTTCTCTCGCGCCACCTTCCCCACTGACGTAGGACTACCGTAGGTTGCAGAAGATATCACACCCCCTGCACTGATTGTTAAAAAAGCTCAATTACTCCACGACGAAGAGGATGCCGAAATTGAAGTATACGTTTTCTGAAAGCTCTCGACGAGATGGTTCCAACGCCTCCCGCCATTTTCGGCACCGTCAATGCTTTTCCTGCCGAGATATCGACCTTCGAAAATCGGTCCAGGGGGTGTGATATCTTATGTAACCTATGGTAACTTACCCGGAGCCCGGTACGCGAAACCCCTCCAGGGCGGCTACGAAGCATCACACAAGTACACACGCTCTCATGTCCGTCACGGTCGTCTCGCGTCCTACAGCAGATGCACAATCTCACCTAAAATACTCGGAAAGCTCAACCCCTTCACTCGGTCCCCGCCCACGGCGACCAGAACGTCCCCCACGCAGATAAGCCCAGACGCCTGTGCCGGTCCAACCTGGCCATACAGACCGGAGCAGCGCGGGACGGACAAATGTCGGTGTAGTTGTCGGTTGAGCACCGGGGGGTGCACAACGTTTTGCGACATTCCATCGTAAATCGAGGGTTATTATTTCTGCTGTCGCTTGGGTCGGACGCATGTGCGGTCGAGAGAAAGGCTTGGGTGGGAAGGTGTGTTGTTTTCTGAGGTAGCGAGCGACGGGCTTGAAACCTCTCGAATGCTTCCCTCGCCTTGATAAATTCATCGTCAGTCGCGCCAGTACCATAGGCCGTTTGTTGCCTGAAAGCAGCAACGCTTGGCACGACACCACCATGACTCCCGAACCACAAGCGGTCCACAGTGCTCGCGCAACTAGCGACAAATTCATCACGGCGAGAGAAGCATTCGAGAGAATTACAGTACCCTGCTGCAAGAACGCAGACTCACCCTTCCATCCACAAGCGAAAAGCCCTTAACGATGGCCTGGTTCCCGTAGTAATCGGCCTGCATCGTGAGGCCGAGATCTGGCCGGCCGCTAGCCCCCCCGCTCAGGCCGAAGACTACGTCGTACTCCCTCGCGCTAGCCCTAGGGTCCGTGAGGTTGTCCAGGAAGGACCCGCCGTGAGACGTCTCTGAAGCAAGCACAAGATTAGGAGCAATAAATACAACGCATGGCTCATCATGAACACGAGGCGAGATTCCACGACTCAACGGAGTCTCTGGACAGCCAAAAGCACTCGAGGGCATTCCCGAGTCGTCATGAACAACCCCGCCCTCTTCTATCTTGGACAAGGACCTCGGCTCACTGCTGCTGTGGTGCTGCCTGCACATGCGGTCTTCTTCGCCCTCAATGGTGCAAGCACACTCTACATACACGTGGTGTGATGGGCAGCCCCCCAACACGAAGGAGTGGTAAAGGAAGGGCACCCGCTACCGTAGGGGTTTGGACAGATGGGCTCGACAGCGCTAAGCTGGACAAGCTTTCCACGCCGCAACGTCGGTACACACATGGTCGAGTACAAGCTAGACCGCCGCTGCGAATGGTAAACCGAATACATTCCCGGCGGTTAACGTTAACACGCAGGCCTCGACCAAGGGCCACTTTGGAGGAATACAGCAGTTAAAGTAGCGCCATTAAAGCACCTAAGAACCTGACAGTTAAGAAGAAAATTGACACAGCGTCGAAAAACCCAGAATGCAGGAACGAACTTGAGCACAATTCGTGAGCTCGGGTAAGAACCCCTTCACTTAAACAGATATATAGCGGCCATTCGTAGCTTAACCTTAGGGAGTAAGAACCCTGGCCTCAACTACCACTCCAGAGGTTTCAAGTGTGGGAGCTAACTACACTGCGGTTTCACAGGGATGTTTCGTAAGGCTGCCGTGCCAGCAGGGCTGTCGCGTGCCTCCCCCATGGATCTTGCTGCCCACGTTCTGCAAAAAAAAAACACCTCGCTTCGTCGGCAGGGGTGTCGTGGGCCTCCCCCATGGGAAGTCGCTGCTTAAGTCCTGCAATTGTACAACTACCTCGCTTCGTCAGCGGTCGTCCACACGTACGCATCTGTAAGGCTACGATAGAGAGGCTAACCCAAAACACCATTGACGGCATCCAAGGCCGATGTAGTGCTGCGTATAGATGGCACCGAAGTGTGCATGCTTCCTCCTCACCGGATGATCGTTGCTCTTGCTGCCTCGCTTCGTCCGCAGCGTTGAAGGAAATCGTCGACAGGGACGCGGGTTGCCCTTGGCCAGCCCCCCCTCCACCCTCATTCGTTGAGCCGCCTGCCTGGCTGTCGGTGGCTCCGTCGCTTGGGCCATCGATCTGATCGCGGCATGGTTGCATACAAAGAGGGACGAAACCCGGACACCAGAATCCACACCGCTATATTAACAGCAGTAGTCGATCAAGAGGGAAAATAAAGCCAACATCGCGAGCCCAACATGAACACCAACACCTGAATGATGATTGCCGACGCCAGTTTCGCTGCGGTATCCCAGCGGTAGTAGCGCCAAGAGGAAGGCACGGCAGGCAATCAACGCTTGTTCTTTCCGCAGTCGGATCGAATCGACGATAAAGGGGATCATTATCATTCCCTGTTTTGGTCGGAGCATCACCCCGTTGGGAGGCCGGTGGCTGAGAGTAAGCCTTTTCTAAACCCCACCCTCGATCCCGATGTATTATCAACAGCGGTATTTCCTGGCCGTCCGTTGGGTGTTGGTGTTGACTTTGTATCCGGCTTCTGCTTGAATGTCATCTGCTCTTCTTACCTATTGTCGGCGTAACATACAACCTGCTTGGCCTTTGCGCACATAGCAGGAGCAGCTTTTGTATCCAAGGATAGTGTTAGTCTTTCACGTTCCGTTTGTCCCGATACCCCGTGGCTGTAGGCACTACATGTAGAGCACCCACGGAGATTACATTTCCCTCTCATGCTCCCACCCTCGCATGTAGAATATCATACACCAGAACATCGGCAAACGGCTGTTGATGCTCTAGTCTGTTCGTCGCCGTAATGAAAGGGGGTGGGTTGAGAGCCAGCTCTGTTGTGCTTGATGTCATCGCCGCTATTGCCCTGACCCTACCTCTCCCTAATCCTTAACTTAACCTAGTGCACTGACCTCAACAGAGTCGAATCCGAGGTCCAGCAGGTCCACCTGCTTGCCGGACTGCCCGAATGCCGCCATGTTCTCGCTCCCTAAACTTCCGAGCAAGAGACGCTACTTGCTTACACTTGCTCGTGTACGGTGTTCGTGTGATCGATCGAGGACCCCGAATATGCGGCGGTCCTCTTGCTGCTTCGTCGTGTTTTTCTCGTCCTTCTGGTTGTGTACAGGTGATTCGGAGTTGAAGGACGGACGGCAGAAAAAAATGATAAAAAAAAAGCCATGCAGAAACAAAGAGCCCACATGCAGTCACATGCAGCTTACTTCGACACAACCTTTGTACCGGCACCATCAGGAACACAAAACCGACGATGGCAAGGGGTGGCTGCTAGACCGCCGCCCCTTCGGAGTTATCTATCCATGCAAAAGATGCCGCTGTTTCATGTTCTGTCAGACGCGGCGGGAGACCGCAAAGTTACTGTATCTACAACATGCTTCGGAATCAAGGATATTGCTCCAAGTCTAAAGGTTGATGTGCCAACGGCGGCGGGGTACTGTTCGTCGGCAACACCAAAAAACACTGCTGTCCTGCTGTACATACCAGGCTGTCGCACTGCCAACAAGATGAAGCAGTCCCCGTTCACCAAGAAGAGCATCCCAACAAACTGAGGCGGTTGATCCGTTGGGAACCGCCCATAGTGTACGCAGTGCAAAGCTTTGACTACAAGGCCAAACGCTACAGACACTACCTCTGTTCGATGGAACGAAGCCCTCTACCACCGCCTAACTTCTAAGTGCCTGATGCGAGCGGAGATAGAATTTGCACTCTGCAACAACACGACGTACATACCCGAGCGATAGAGCATGGCAACACAGCGATGGAGAAAGCTTCCATTCCTCGAGGCCCTACATACATGGAAGCACACACCCACACACCCCACCTACAGCAGTAGCCGAGCTTACCTCACGCCCTAGGACCGGCATTGAAACGGTTCCCAGCGCGTATATGCGTTTACGAGACACGTTGAGGTGGCAAGATGCACGTCGACCTATGCCCTTGTACTCCACACACCCATTGCACCGTCTCTTCTGTATCGCTCACCTTGTGCGCAATCACACCAGGAGGAAGGCGTTGACTGTCCTGCACCACAGCTGTGTCGGCCTCAGAGCTAGTTAGCCAGCTAGCTTGCTTGCTGTTCTAAGCAGGGGCTCCGCCATCTGCTGTACCTCACAAAGATATACGCATACGCCGTTCAAGTCTTCCCGCTGCCGAGTGTCATCTGTCGCCCCCCTCCTGCTCTTGTTGTTGTCTTGTCCACACTCTGCCACACTCACCCCCGGCCTCTCTCCCACCCCGTCCCGTCTCTCTCACCCCTTCCAACAAGGTAAGCACGCGGTACCTGTACCTGCTGTTGCTGTGATAGTCTCGCCGAATTGGCAAAGCTTCCCCTTCTGCAGCTACACTTTGGCTTCGAATTGGCCTGATTGGCAGATCTTGTGAGAACATATTTTAGAGGTGGTCTGTTTGTCCGTGTGTGGACCACATTGCGTCGAAGGCAGCGCAACGCTGTATGCCTACCCCACCAGTGCATTCCCTTGCGGACACGATAACTCGTGAGATCAGGGCAGCTGCATTCCGTCCGTACAGCAGTCGCCCTACAACACGCATCCTTCGTAAACCAAGTATGTAGAGAGTTTGCACGCACTAACTATGTACTTGACGACGAAAAAGGCGGTGTGTGCACAGCAGGCAGAAAGAAGGCAGTATCGCAGCTGCAGCAATGAACCAAGATCGTTGTCCAACAGACCAAGATGGAGGGGGAGATACTACTGCAGTCCATGACAACTCGAGAATATTCCCCGCTCCTGTGTATCTCCCTTCACCGATACACCTGACATGTGATGTGCTGCTGGTGCGTGCTGCGTTTCAAATTTCTCCGTGTCTTCCTTTTCTTGAAAAAACGACAGCACCATGGAGCGAACCTACATCATGATCAAGCCCGACGGCGTCCAGCGCAACCTGGTGGGCGAGATCATCGCTCGCTTCGAGAAGAAGGGGTACAAGCTCGCCGCTCTCAAGGTACAGCAGTACTGCCACTAGTGCATCGGATAAAATGGATAAAAGTCTCATGGGTGAATGTAATATTCTTGTTTTCATCATCCTCTTGGCTTACCATGGGTTGGCGCCGAAACTATCCCTCATGTGCACCTACTGCCTACCACCCCCGTCACGTCCCGGCGTGAACCGGTGTAGAGCCGTGGAGCGTAGGAGACCCTGTTCGTCTCACCCGCCTGAACATCTTCCGTGTAGCCACTACACAGCAGCAGTTAATAACTAGAGAGGGAACCTCAAATGTTCACCCGAGAGACACATTGTAGATGCCCGCCTTGCTGTACAATATTTTTCGGAACATATCCGGCGGGTTTCCGCGACATAAGAGCATTCCGCATGTGTTGCGGAAAACCATACCATGAGAACCGCCAAGATTACGGAATCCCACAGTACACCACCTTGCCTTACATATAGCCCATGCGGCGTCTCTCGTGCTCCCGTTTCATGCACGGCATTCCCCTGATCGTAAAACCGTAGGTGCCCATACGATATCACACCCCTGAACCTATTTTCAAAGCCCGAATACTGCTGTAGGTACTCGACGAAGAACATGGCATATAACCACATCGTACGTTCTCTGAGAGCTCTGGACGAGGCGGCTCCAACGCCACCATTTGAGCACTTCGGCTGTGTTTATCCTGCAGGGCAGTCGACCTTTGAACATCGGTCGAGGGGGTGTGGTATTTAATGTCATGTCACCTACGGTAACCAGAAGACCGGGGAGGCGATGCGTTCTCTCGGTTGTCTTGAAACTGATGCACGCAAGTGGACTGCTGCTTTTGGGCGCGTATCTGAACGGGCCCGCAGTTGTTCGTGAAGGAACAGAGATGCTCAAATTTTCACGAACAATACGATATTTGGATTATTAAATGCTGCTCAGCGGTGGTTCCGAAACCTACTCTTCCAATATCCTGCGCTAGACGGCAATAGTGGCCATGAAACAAGAGAGAGAAACTAAGCCTCGACGCGACGTTGACGTTTTCTTTATCTCCGGGACCGTCCTGTGTGTCGGAGCAGATGGCGCGGCCGGAGCGATCGCACCTCGAGGAGCACTACGCCGACCTCAGCGGCAAGGGCTTCTTCGCCGGCCTCATCGACTACATGGTAAGCCTCGACCGAGCCGGATGCACCCACTTTGTTAATTGTTCATGGAAGATAAGAAACGCTGCTGTGCGGCACCTCGTTGCTTGATTAGGAAGGAACTTGCTGCTGCGCCGTTCTCGCCGGCCGCTTGGCCTCGTAGTCGCATGCTTGTTCCATGTCTTGGGCGTAGTGTAGACGTTTGTCCTTACTGATATGCATGTAAAGGTTTGGACGACCCTCCTGCCGGCCCTGGTGTAATCGCTTCTCAACAACGGTGGTGGCGTGTGTGTTTTGCCGTTCCTTGAAGTCTGAACGCCAAATAACGTATGAACGTTCGGAGTGTTTGGATGCCCCACGCAGCCGGTACGGTAATTCTGGTCCCGAGCTTTCCTCTCCGGCAGCTCTCGCCTCAGCCTTGGTTGGCATCGCGAGGAGAATCCCGCCGTTCTTTTCCCTCCTCGACCGTGCAACCTTTTCGTTGTTACCTTACCCGCCAGTTCATCACCAAAGTGAGCCTGATGTGAACGCGCCGAAACTCGAAATCAAGGAAAAAATTGATTCCATTTCTTCACGTCCGTACGTGCTCGTCGCAGGCGTCTGGCCCCGTGGTGTGCATGGTGTGGACGGGCGTGAACGTGGTGCTTGAGGGGCGCAAGATGCTCGGAGCCACCAAGCCGTCAGAGTCGGCCATGGGGACCATCCGCGGGGACTTCTGCGTGGAGTGAGTCTATGTACAATGTTCAACCCTTCGCATACAAGCTTGTGGAGACCTACATGCTCATGTACAAGAGTTGTGCCGCACTCGAATGATTTCATACCCTTTCCCTCGAACAGACTTTTCGCTAGAGCAGTCCTGGGAAAGAGCCTCTATATCGAAGAGGGCGACGTATTGAATCACAGCCAGTTCGCAAGACCAAACAAAGAAACAAAGAGGATTGAAAATTGTGACGACAATGAAACTTACCACGCTACCGCTCGACGAGGAACGACAACAGCAGGACAAAAATGACACGCCTCGCACACGCAGCGTGCAACTTCGAATTGGCGATGTATACATATTTACTTGTTTTTTCGATGATGAACCACTTGCCACGAAAACGGCATTCACCACACAAGCAGACGGATGGCAAGCTGCTACACTGCACTATTGGCTGTCAAATCCGGAGCTGACACGGTGCTCAGCCCTGCCGGTGCCCGCTTGGCAGCGTTGAATGCGTGAACGTACGCACCGGAAATTTCATTTTTTAGCAACCTGATCGTGTCCAAGCTAATCGTGTTCCCTTTCCTTCCGCAGCATAGCTCTACCGTCGTTCTCTTGTTCCCGCACGTGGTCCAATACGTCATACAACAAATTCGCCGCCTTTGTTTCTGCTCGCAACCCGCCGCAACTCACTCGTATCTTGCCCTTGCCCCGGTCCAATCCCGTGAATTAAATGGAATGGGACGGGATGGATCCCAACCGCAGGGTGGGACGCAACGTCTGCCACGGCTCCGACTCCACCGACTCGGCCGAGCACGAGATCAAGCTCTGGTTCCCCGAGTGAGCACACAAACACAGACACAGAGACGGCGGACACATGACCATTGCCCTGTAGTTTATTTTCAAAGTCAAAAGCATGACCTTGTTTTCCCACGTTGCCATTATCGAGGCGTACTTTCCAAGGACGCACTGCTGTGTTGTTGCGCTCCAGTATCGGTGGGCACAATTCCTTGTTGGTGTAAATTGCACAAATGAAGATCTTTTGTAGTCCGCGGGTTCTTCTTGTGCTGTAGCAATTGCAATTGATGCTACGCCATCCTACAACGCATCGCAAGTTGCGTACACTGAGCACATAGCAGTAGATACACATTCACAGCACGCCCTTTATGTTGCTGCGATGTTTGAGAGTGTCGCGTTCAACCATTCGTGCGTGCGGCAAACAAAAATTACTCTGGTCCAGGGATCCTTGCCGTATCCGCTGAGGGTTTTGTTTGTTTGGAGTCTCTGCTCACGGGTCCATGGCAGTTCATCCATGTTCCTTGTACGCACGATATATACCTCTTTGGCCTCACTGTTTTTGGTGTGTGATGCTCCTGTCCGTTGTATTCAGAAGCCTTTTTCTTCTGTGTAACCATGTTAGATAAAGCACGCCATAGGGGAAGTTGGATAAGGTCTGCATACCCCCTCTCTGTTTTATTTCCTCATGAACTTACTAATCTCCCGAAGGCGGTCAGTAGTGTCCACATGACTTTTCTGCTACGTAATTTAACATATTGGATACAGAATGGATCGGGGAAGTTGGGTTACGGAAGAGTACATGTTACCTGATGTCTTCCTCCCATGAACATGTCGGTCGTCCTTGACAGGGGTGTGTGCGAGTGGGACGCGTGCACCAACGCCTGGATCTACGAGAAGTAAAGGATGGGTGGATGATTTCCGCAAACCACGGCGAAGAGAGCCTTGTTCTTTTGGAGACCGGGGTTTCGACACCGTGCACGTCGACCGCACCAGACGTTTCTTGGATGGTCCTTGGCTTGTAAACGCATGCCTCGTGAACTTGACAGTCCCATGACCTGACAGTCTCGTGACTAGAAATTCTCGTGCCGTGTGGCGCTCTGGGGGTTGCTGATCGATCGCCTCGATGTACTAATAGAGAGCAAGAGACTTCGTGTAAGCTCTGTAGGCTGTGTAGGGCTAACAAATATCTTGTGGATTTCACGCGACCGTGGAGCTTGGGCGACCCACAGCTGGGGCCGATCGAATTTCACCTATTATAATAGCGGGTTTCGCCAGTGTTGCAGCATTACGGTACTGCTACCATAGGCAAGAGATGTAGGGAACTCTGGGCTCCGGTGGAGTGGTGTTGGGAGTGAACTACACCTGCGTTTTGCGCGAGTTTCGACACATGAATCTTCTTGCGCCCGAAACCTAAGCAGAGAGAGCACTACCGCACTCTGGACTCAGGTGGAGTGGTGCGTTTCGCGTGAGTCCGGACGCATACGGTCCATGCACAACAATTTGTCCATTCACGTTTTGTGCGATATCTTTTTTAAGAAAAAAAATTGAAACGCGAAACAACGATATTCGTGACCGCCTCGTCGAGCTACGTCGATAGCTGCACCAAAATGATCCACGGAACCCCCTAAATCAGCATAGTACCCCCTGTTTTCCTCCGCGGAGCCCCCATATATTACCACGGTGCCCCCCATTTACCACTGCGGAGCCCCGTCTATCACCACGTTGGCCCCCATTTTTGCGCCAAGGCACCCCCATTTTATGCCACGGTGCCCCCTCTGTGAAATTTCCCCGCGTCCATACCCTTCTTCTTCACAACTGATCGCGCACTGCAGGACGAAAACACATGCACAGTCTAGTCGCATGCACAACACTTCACTCTTATCACTCTATATATAATTAATATATACAAAACTTTCGGAGGCAGTCAACCGCAAGGGAGTGCTAGAAAAAACAAGGCTCAACACAAAAGAAAGGGAACACGCAGCAGGCGCACAACAAACCCGGCAAAGCTCTTGAACAAACATTTGTACAGCGCTGGCATGCGCACGCAAAACACACATCACGACGCAGCGTTCTCGGCCTCCTCCTCCTCTCCCTCCTGCGCCATGGCGCGCTTCTTGTTCCACTTCTTGAATGCCCTTTAGCTTCTTCTTAGGCCGCCCCCTAGGATTCCCCATGGTGCTTGCGTGGGTATTTTGTGTTCTTCGGGCTGCAACGTGTGCGAGAGTTGTTTGTGCGTGTTGTGTCGCCCACCAAAGCACACCCACCCATGGTGCGGCACAACGTGTTGAATATCTCGAAAACTAGATTTTTCCCAGCAAAACCCCAAAACCCCCAACTGCTGTAGATCGACGATAGGGATCGTTTGCCACTGTTTATTTTGAAATCGGTCGGGTGGTTGTCGCGCTGTAAATGAATCAAGTTGATCCTCTACATTCAGTTATTCTCTGATATCTCCTGTAATTTCGAGAATTACAAAAAAAACAAAAATCCCCAACCGCAGAATTCCGACATGTGTCCAAATCCGTTGAGTTTTTTGGCATCGGCAATAAACACCACCCTGTGTAAACGAATCAAGTTTTAAAGGTGTTTCGGGGATAAAAAGTCAAGGAAAAAAAAACACAAAAAAAACTCTCCGTCACGCCATGCGCCTGGAAACAGGGCGTTTGCCGGTACTTTCAGATTTCGGAACAACCACCTGTGTGCAGAGAAAAGTTGTCATTTGTGCTGGGGGAATTTATGGATTCATTGTTGTGCACGGACTATAGAACGCAGAGAGCAACGACACACCGAGGGTTCCGCACGGAGGGATGGTGCGCGTGTTGAGAGAGAACCCACGGGCGTGACATTGGTGTTTTCACGCTCGGTCGAGCTCTCTCTGTGCGACAGTGAAAGAAAGTGTCGCGGTGATGGGCAGCGCTAATGTAGTCGCCTGCTCTTGGCATGTCGAAGGAGATTCTTGGTTGCACGATCGAAACAGACGTCGTTCTTCCTCGTCCGCATGACGAACGGTGGATCGGTGTCCCCAACAGATACTGCTGTATCGGGGTGAAAAACACTTGCGTGGCCACAGATCCAACGCACGAATATTCACAGCCGGGTCTGTAAGTACTGCTGTGCATGCCTTGCACGCACGGGCTACCATGAACACCTGTCAACCTTGAAACTCGATTCTCTATTTACCTTGTCGCAACAGTCAGCCGGCACTCGTCCAGTACAGGGTAAAAAAGGAGAGCCGATTGCATTTCCTACAAGACTCATGCGGGTGTCGGTTATGGACAACACGAAACCACAGCAGGTGAAATCGCTGGAACGACCGTAGGCCCACATCGCCTATGCCTGGAACGACCGACAGCTCCAAAAACGACGCTATACTCTCGCCCGAGTGGCTGAGACACAGTAGGTCCAGGTAGCTTGGACTTTCGCGACGGACGACAACCCTAGATTCACTGCTGTACCACAAACTTTCTGTTGATTCTGGTTGTGGCTTACCACCAACTACAGTAGTTTCCCTACGAAGCTTCACTGACGGAGCATACACACGCACGAAACCTGATTTCACTACCAACCCACGAAAGCTTGACCCACGTGGTTCTAATACTGGCTTCCATGTCCGTACAGTACCCCATGAAATCTCCTCTGTTTTCGTCTCTTCGCAGCCTATGACCACACTTCAGGTGCTCGCGTCCTCATGAAAATCTGGCTCTCTACGTTGTAGATCTCGGTGAATCCTGCTTCGACCAGAAGCTGGCAAGCCTTCGCTGATCTGTAGGTCTTGCACCCTATCAAGAGCTTCGCGTCCAGATCGAATCGAGCTTTCATCTGTCGGGGGCGGTCGTGCGGCAAGTATGCATGCAGTACGGCCCCGCGGTTGAGAAACGATTTGTTCAGAAACAGAAGCTCACGTTTTCGCGCAAAAAGAAATTGGGATGCAAAACTTAGCTTAGCGGTGGATCTTACACTAAACTCTGGTACATAGCCTGTGCTCGACAGCAGTGAGTGGCGATGAAATAAGAAACTGAGCCTTGATCCCATTTCGACATTTTGTCTCTGCGGGCCCGAACTGTCCTTAGCCAAGGAATATCGCGTTATAGCGAACATCGCGAAAGATCATCAACCTAAATTGTCACCAGCTTTAACGAGATGTTTGAGCAGGGGGGACAAACAGCAACAGCAGGGATTTTGGTGGTGGTATTCCGTCAACAGAGTGGCGAAACAAACATTGAGGTTGGAACAAGAAGGGTCATCAGGGAGCAAGCTGCCGCGGCGCGGGGCCAGGCGATGGGTGCTGGATGCAGCAGTCCTTGTCAGTCAGAATTCGAGGAGCACACCCGTTCATTTCCTCATCGCCCAGACCATCGGCGCAGACCCTCTTCTTGTCGCTCACGCCAAACATTAACCGTTTAGTCCATTCAACGGAAAGGGACTGCCTTCGCGAGGATACTATGAAATAGAGAGGGGGGGTTCGTAACCCTATCCCTAACCCCCACCGTAACCCCCTAGGGTACTAAAACCAAGTTCAATATCCTCGCAACTGATGAAAACACTACCTGATGAGGTCTCGACACAACACATTTGCCTAACTCCGAACCAGGGAGCGAGCCAGCGGCGTCTACGACGACCCCGACCGCCACAGCCTTAGCCTTGCTGGAAAGCGGCTTTCCTCTCACCGTGTCCACGAAATCTGGCTTGACCGTGTAGTCCGACTCCTCGAAGTTGTACGCTGGAGCGTACCCGGTGTCATCACCGTCTTGGTCGTCAAGCCCCTCTCCTTGCTCCTCTGCCTCGGGCATGACTAAATCGAACGCTGGGATGCACAACGCCCCCCTGTACAGCGCGAGCGCACGGCAACGTTGTGTTCGTTTGTCTACAGAGAAGGCAGTGGGTGTGCATGGTGGGTTGACGTGCGAGAGACAGACGCATCCAAAGCTACTGCTGTACAGTCAACGCCCGCGATTAAGAAACGAACCTTTAAGAAACAAAAGGCTCAAATTTTGGCGATAAATAAGATAAATCGACTGAGAAACGCACGCCAGCCGCACGTCAGCCGTGGATTCTACGGTAAACTCTATATAAAATCATAACAACACTCGACGGTGGTGACGAAATACAAAATTGAGCCTCGACCCCAAATCGACATTTTCTTAACCGCGGGCGCTATCTGTAGAACGGATTGATTGATGTTGAATGAACTTGGCAGCGGCTTTACAATGTATGTGTCAAGCGGCCATCGAATTACTCTTGCTCATCGAACCGCACTCTCACGTGAAGGTTGTGGTCACAACAACAACGACAAATAAAAGGGAATGCCGCCATTGCCTTTCTGGGAGTACAGCGCAGTCGGATTGTAAACGCTGCTCTGCTACTCTTGCAATAACATGGGTTTGGGAGTAGGGGAAGCGAGAAGCATAAACATAGTAGCCTTGCATCTTGTGGAAACAACCCAACGCTACACCGTGGGTCAAGAGAGTGGTAGGGGGGACTTCGCTATTGACGACAAATATTCTCCGAAACACCTCCTGTTGTCGGTATTTGAAGATGTAATTTAGCTACCAAAACCATCCTCGTTCACCCAAATTTCATGTTCTATTGGTGCACCTTACTGTTGCCAGCTTTTCATGCTCTTCTGCCGATCGGATGTCGATGTAGCTGAACTCTGAGTCCCTGCTCATGGTCCACTCCACCGCCTCTCGAACCGTAACGTCGGTGTAACCTTTCTCCTCTTCACCTCCATCTTCCCCTCCGAGCATTCGCACAGCAGTGCTGCAGCAGGCAGTCGCAGGAGAACCGATCGATGCCAGCACCGATAGGAGGATATCATGTCATTAGACTTCGCACAGGGATAGTCTGTAGTGTATGTACATAGTTGTCGTGCAACGATGAGTTGTGCACAGGGGAGAAGGGTTGTGGTGTGCGCTGTAGTTCATGCAACTCGTTTGTTGTACGCATACCGTCGCCAGCAAGCGCAACAAAGAGCGATTGCATATCATAATCGGCAGTGTTACCATCGCCAACAAGCACATAAAGCACGCCACTACGAATGACAGCCAGTGTCGTATGGCAGTTAGCGTGCCTGGGAGTGTGCTGCCCATATGCATACCCACAGCAGCAAGCCCCACACACGTGTCAGGGCATGGCCGAATCATGTGTCGGTGCACAACTGGGTTTCATGTGTGTAACCATGCGTAGTCCAAAAGAACTCGTGGAGGACTTTAGCACATCAACAACGTCTCCTCAAGACAGAGAAACACACTGCACTCACCTGGAAGCTCTTGGCCATCGTAATCGCAGGTGTCGAGCACATGGTACATGTAGTTGGGGGTTGCTGGCACACGCAGTTGAAGGCGGACTTGTGAGGGGCGGGACTGTCAAAAAGGCCTGCGTTGTAGAGCCAAACAGAACGACACCCAGCACCCGCATGGCGGCTTGTACACGCACCAAGGGTCAAGCTAGGGTGACCTTTCACAACACAACCTGGACCAACGCGCCTTGTGTTTGCGTGGACTCCACGTTCACTTGTTGCTTGTGCGCTTCAGACATGGATGGACAACCCAACCGACTGCGGGTCTCAACGGTTGGGATATCTGGCGTACATACCAAAGACCAAAAGGTACCAGTATTTCTCGCACCCATATCTCGCACGCGCGAGGCAATCGCATGATCGCATGTAAGCGAGCCGCCAGTTGGTTGCGCCCAGAAGCACTCAACGGAAAACTCAACGCCTGGCATAAATCCAAAACATCAGCGCCTTCGACGCAATTGCAATGCACTGCGTGAGGCCGCCATTGATGGCTCTGCACAACGCACTATTTAGAAAGAGGTGACGACGTCATTTGACCCGCTACAGGGTTGGCGATATCCCCGACCAGGGCATGTTCCGCTCATGTTACGAGTCGCCAAGACACCCTCATCAAGGGAGGGACTGACGTGACGATAGCGGCATTGTGCGGGTGCTAGTGACTTTGCAGATATCCGCTCTTAACGGAAGTAGCCCTTTCGCTGTTTCCAAGGAGTTCTGATGAAGGCCGGCGTGCAGATCTCAAGTCAGGACTGGTTGCACAACGTTTTTTGCTGGCGGCGGCAAGAGGGCACTGGGAGCTGTGACGGCGAGCGCGGATTGATGCAGGTGCGGATCTATCCTGATAGCCATGCGGTCGGGGAGGACAACCTGATGCACACAACACGGCACTAAGAGGGCACTTGGGCGCGATCAAGGAACTCTCGGTCGTGACCAAAGCGAAACCTCTCGTTGTTGACCGTTTGGCTGCTTGGCCTACGAGTACATACTGTAGTCGTTGTAGATCCCTTTCACGCGATGGCGGAACACGCGGAACACGGGTCTTTGGAGGTATTAGGAAGTGCGCGAGCTCATCGAGATATTTGAAATTGAAATTTGTTCCGGCACCAGCAGCGGTGTCAAAAATGTAGTGTAGCACCTCGACCTGATCATCACCGCCAACAATCGTGCGTTGACGCCACGGGCGGTGCTGACGGACTTCTCAGTCAGTCGTCGAGACAGGCATCGCTTTGGTCATCGCTACAAGAACTGTCTGTGCGGATCCTCGTTGAAGCTGGAGTCTGCACCGCACAGTAGTAGTCTCCGCAACCACAGACAGGACGCTGAGCAGCCTGTTGCCTTTTTCCTTTGATCAATATCACCCTCAGGACGAAGGAAACGGAGGGACGCCCAGTCCGGCAGAGAGCAGCAGCAGCCAAACAGCGTGGAGGCGCCGTCCGTGCGCCGCTTGACAATTGCAACTGGGCGCCAAGTTCCTCTCGCCCTCTTGCCTTTGCCTGGGCGATGCCGCTCGCATGGCCCATGCTATTGGCCTGAGCCTGCTGATTGCGTAGGGCTGCGAAGAAAGTGGCGTTGCGAGTGGTTCAACTGGCGAAGATCTATCTATCGTATGTGACATCATCTCCGTCCAAGGTGGGACGATACACCCACGTATTTCATGACGCCATGTTGCCGTGTGCTTTGGACTGCATGGTTTCGACGACCCATGACGCCCTACATAGATTGCTGCTGATGCGCCCTAGCAATACGTTCCGCATCAAGTTTGCGGGCGTCTGCACGTCGCAGAGCCTCCCCGATCACCGTGCGCATGTATCGTGTGCGGCCTTGTCGCGAGAGGGAGCGTTCTCCATCTAGAGTCGACTCTTCGAAACGTCTTGAGCTGGCATAATGTTTGAATCCCTGGGTCCCTGGCAAATGGTCGATCAACTTGTTCTGCTCACAGCAGTACGGATAGAAGAAGGTACTGAGCGGAGACCGGAACGGTTTTAAGTTTGAAAACACCACCAACAACAACTGCTGGAACACTTGTTTGTCTGCCGAAGCAGCGATCGTCGCACAAGTTTTCAATCGATAACCAACTACCCCCCGCCTTTCGCGCGTCTTTTCTTCTTCCTCGCCCGCTGCATATCCCGGCCTAAAGCTATTCGCAGCAGCCGCGCCTTTTGGATTCTGGTGCTTCGCCATCCATCAGTGATGCTGGCGACGAGGCAAGGCTTGGTCAAGAACGCACCAGGTGGCGGAAACAAACGCGCACGTAGACCCTACATTTTTTCCGCAACGACGAGGGCGGGCTATCGGCAGGATGGCGCACAGTCAGGCTGAATATCGGAGCAGGCAGTTCACCCGGTTGTTGTGTGGACGCGAGGACTTGATAGGATGTTCGTGTGGTAGAGGTGGCCGGTTGGCAAATATTTGTTTTAGATTGTTTTGCTGCTGGCCCAAGGCACGGCAGCATAATGCCGAGAGTGCTGGTGTAAAAGGGGAGCAGCGGTCTACTACTGTGGTGGAGCAGGCTTTCTTTGAGTGTTCTTCCTTATCAACAAGAAGGTGGGGTGTGAAATTCGGTGTCCGTCTTACCCCTCTTAAACGGTGCTCGTTGATGAGCACGAGATGGGTGCCTGTAGTGTGTGGGAGTACGCATGGTGGATTGATACCCGTCCCTACCCATCTACATATGTGATGAATCCAATAGCTACGGCTGTAGCATGTAGACGAGGTCAGGGCGAGTGTTTGAGTATAAAGCCTTGAGTTGGAGATCCCCTCTCTCTGGAATGTCGTGAGTACCACTCGCTCGTACTCGCGCGTATTTGATGCCGCCGTCGTCTACTGCCTGTCGCACAGCGGCACAACCCCCCGATCGTTTGCAGCTTATTATTTGTTGACGTTTATAACCAATGAATCGCGTCGTTTCTAGGTTACTACATAGATCTGCGCGGGGGGCATGGTAACGACGACAGTAGTAGTACGTGATAGGTTACTGCACTTTGTGAAAATGTTGTATCGATAATCGGACTTAATTTCCTAATTTGCGCCTATAGTCTACATGCATAAGACAACGTGGTCAGGCCGTAACTCCTGTACGCATGTATGTATATGGCCACGACAGCCATATCCCAAAGGTTGGCAGCAACCAGGATTTCACATTCTGTCTAGAACTGAAAAAATGCACAACGCACGTACGTGTGGGAAGGAAGGTTTTGGTGTGCGTACCGGTTCGACAATACGAGCCAATGGTGAAGTCTGTCTGTCAAAGTAACAACAATTCGACACACGTCGATGATGAGGTCTTGCAAGGCCCATACAATTGTATGCATACAAATAAGGCTCTCTCTGAGGATTCAGCGATGCCGGAAAAAAATACATTACACCCGAGCAAAGTCTACCCTGGGGGAACTATTACTTTGAAATGAATGTGGGTGGACTTGGGTGGGCGACAAAGTGTGGAACACCAATCAATCGTCAAGTTCGAGCTCTCAGTACCCTACACGGCAAGTCCCGCTGAGAGGCAGCTTAGCGAAAACCACAAGTACACAAATAAAAGCCGCGGCTGCTGCGGTATTCCTATATGCTTACATGAACAGAAGTGCACGCCAGAGGTACTATCGCTTCGGCCGTACTATTCAGACCACGGGGAGTAACCCCGCTCGCTGTGTCTCGGACACTCGTGGCTCTACCGGGCTGCCGAGTGTTGGTCACACTTTTGCTGCTGTCTTGGCTGTAAGGAAACGAAAGTTACAGCACGTTGTCAATGTGGGAAGTACCAAGTAGATGATGTACATATCGTGTACAACAACAGGCAGGGAAAGGTTGTTTCCCAGAGCACCTGCGTACCGCATATATATATACCCATCTGGTACCCATAGAAATACTGCCCCGCCGCCCTGGCGGGGATCAGCGGATCAGCCCAAGCGAACAGGTCAACAGCAACACGCCCTGCATTATTATTCCGAGCGAGACTGTGGGCCTCTACCAACGAAACGCACAAAAAAAAACACGACAGACAGGGGCCATCGGAAGAATCGGAATATTTTCATCACACACACAGACCAGCAGACAAACGCACACACGCATCACCCGACCACCTGCTCACAAGCAACTTGCCCGCGATCTCTGGTGGGCGCGCACCACGAGGTCACCCCAACATACACGCACATACACGCACGCGATTAGGAGTACTCTATAACAGTTCCACGAGCGCTGAACGAACAGGTGAGAGAGGTGGGCCACCACTACAGCAGTAGTAGCAGCTAGCAGCGCAGCAACATGTGGTTCAAAAGTGCAAGTTCTGTTCTCAGTTCTGCTGTGTGGTCAATCCTCCCCTCCCCGCGTTTTCCTTGCGGTCCCTCTGCACACTCTGTATGTAAGTACAATGTGCTGTTGCTGAAGCAGCGGATGGGCCTGTATTCATGCGTGATCTGCAACGAATAATCCCCAATCCCGAAAGACCACAGAGGCCTTTCTCGCAAGAGCAGCGTGGTACTTGCTCTGCAACAAGCTCGCGCTGCCGGCCGTTGCTGCTCCAGCAGCCGTGCAGCTTGCTCGCGTTCATGGCGGTGTTCCGACAAGGGCAGCAGCAGCGCAGCTTGCTCGCTTCTTCCGTTGAAATGCGAGAATCCTGGCTGTCGGTGTTGACAACTAGCCAGTTGCTGTTGCCTGATTCTCTCCCGCGTGGAGGTCCTGCCATGCACCGACGAAATAACGGATGGATGTTGTTTGTGGGTAGACCGGGCTGTGTGCGATTTAAGTTCACCGTCTGCGAGATGTACTCATCATGGTTCATGTTCGCGCTGCAGCGCTGCAGCCAAATCTGGCTGTCTGGCTTTCTTTCTGGCTGTCCGCTCCAGCTTCCTGCCTTCGGGGTGCGTACTCCAAGCTCCGAAGGAACAGGATTCTTTGTTTTGCGGCACCACATGTTGCCTTGGCGTTGTCTTCACATTGCGGATTGCGGAATCAATCAACCACGTTTGTACTGCTGGTAAAATATAAAATATGTACTCGAGTGGGTATTGCACCGTGTGGGGTTGAGCCTACAGGTGTTCCTGCAAGCGTTGAAATGTTTCTCCAAAGACCGTATCGAACAGGAGCAGAGAGGGGCGGCCGCTTCTTCCTCCCGCGCCTACCTAGCCCACAGATATGATGATGCAAAAGCACCCTTTTGATCCCAGAGCCGGAAAAGTGTGCCGAAAGCTGACAACCCGGCACCTGCTGCCGCGCGCCCTCTGCTTCCCCACGGCACGCTACTGATGTTCTCACTCTCTGTCCAGCTTTGCACACCAAGAGAGGCACCTCTCGGCACAGCAGCAGTGCAGGGAGCAGCAGCAAGCTGTCCTCGCCATGGACCATCGCTTTGCCTGCAAGCGGAGCAGCAGCAGCAACCCCCTGCGCGGGCTAGGCGAGGAGCTACTCACCATCGTGTGGGAGTCCGCCTCGAGCGAGCAGCTGGGCTCGTGGCTCCGAGTGCCGCTGGAGCACGCCGCCGCCGCCGCCGCCGCCGCTGCCCCGGAGCACCGCTGCAACGACGACAGCAGCCCCGCCCTCTGCTTGAAGCTGCTCGAAGCGGGCGCGGACGCCTTCGTGCGGCGAGGGCCGGTGCTCGATCGCTCCCCGCTCCTCGCGGCAGCCCAGGCGGGCAACGCTGCCGTCGTGTCCGCGCTGCTCGACAACGGCTCGGCCCCGGACGGAGAAGAAGAAGACTGCTGGGAATCATCGATCTTCAGCAGCAGCAGCAGCGCCATCACCGTGGGCGTGGTCGACGCCAGCAGTAGCTACGGGGGTCAACGGACGCCGTTGCACTTTGCTGCCTCCGGGGGGCATGTCTCGATGGTGAGGGCCTTGATCGGTGCGGGTGCGGACTTGGACACGGCGGACGGGGATGGCTGCACCCCGTTGCACCTCGCCGTTTTTCGAGGCTTCGAGGAAGTCGTTCAGGAGCTAGTGGACGCCGGAGCCAGCGTGGACACCAGCGACTCGGAGGGCGAGACGCCTCTGCACACGGCTTCGGCGCACGGATCCCTAGGCATGGTCAAGGCGATCCTGCGCGGGTCTCGCGAGAGCAACCTGCCGTGCCCCACGGACCACCTTGAGATGCCCCCGCTTCACCGCGCGGCGCTGGGAGGGCATTGCGAGGTGATGTCCGAGCTGCTACGCCAGGGTTCCAGCCTACACACTCTTGCTGGGAACGCCCGAACAGCTCTGCACGCGGTGAGTCTTGGCTTCAAATTTCTAAATTTCTTTTGCCAGCGACTGCAGCAGCACCCAACAAAACCACGCTACGAGTGAGTACAGAGCACTTCCGTTGCCTACTACAGCAAGTAGGTGTCCCGATATAGTGCCGGTATGTGTCCAGGCGATTTGACCGGCACTATACCGGGCATCGGCACTATTCAGAATTGTGCCTGGATAGTGCCAAACCGGCACTATTCAGGGCCTGAAAATCCCTCTATAGTGCCGGCTTGGCACTATTCAGGACTGTTCGAAAGTGTAGATTTAAGGAATAACAAAAACACACACAGAAAGACTACCCATTCGAGATATACCCACAGTCGAACGGGATGTGGTGGAGTCTTTTCAGTGAGTGGAGGGAAACCGGCTGTATAAGTTCGATAGGAGGCCTCAGTACACGATATAGGGTGGCGACCTGCGCGTTGCATGCCCAGACCTATGTATCCGTTGCTGTGGGGCCGTGCAGTCGAAGGCTGTAGCTGAGGTCTGAAATGTCCGCAACTCTGTACCCATCTAGCATGGACAATCCACTGCAGCACGCACCGTCACATACCCAAATCTCCTCAACTGCGGGTAAACATTCATAGCTCACACCGCAGAAGAAGCAGTAGTCACCTTGGACGACCAACAGCAGTATGGTCCAGGGTGGGAAAGTAGCTCAGACTCGTTCGGGGCGTTAGGCTGACTCTTATGGCTCCCGAAAGTTGGCCCGACGGATTTTTTTGGACGGGCATACCCCCCCCCCCCTGATTTCGACCAAGAGACAGACCTCTCACCACATCACCACAGAGTTCTCCCTCCATGATTGTCGGGTCGTCACCAGAACTTGAAGGCTGTACGCACCACACCTGTAGGCGTATTTGAAGCTAGTGGTGACTGCTGTGGGGTCTGTGTGTGCTGAGAAATGTCAAACCATGTGAGCAAAAGTAAGAATCCGTTTGGAGAATCCGTCGAGGATTCTATACGAATCCGTCGGGCCAACTATGGGGAGCCATAAGAGTCGGCCTTAGCGCCGAACAAACGAGAGGCTTTCGGGGGGGCGCCGCAGGCGCCGTAGCCCTCCGCAGGAGCCGCCGGAGGCCCTTCCCGGAGGTAAAAAATTTAGGGTAGTATGCATCATTTTGTCACTTTCTGGCACTAATTTTGAAGTGCTGTCGTGCTGTCTCATCTATATTCCGTGCTACGTCGTTACCATTATTGTACGGCTGTATTTACTGTAGTCTTGTTTCTAATGTTGTATGCATATGTAAGTTCGCTACTCTCGTATGTAGTAGCTAGCAGTAGGTGCCGGTCACTGGTGCGCGTCTGTCTGCATATTCGACGCAAAAGCCCTACCACAACTAACTGACATTTTCATGAGTAAAAACAGACATGAAACATATAAACGCGTGTAAATTAGAGATGCTACATCATCTTTATTATACAGGAATCATTTTACAGGAAGCAAATCAGCACACAAAGAGTAAAACAAAGTGCATGTGGTCGAAAACATCCGTGACACATCAGCTTAGGGGCGTCATAGTTGTCGTATTGGCTGCAACCCTCGTTCGTGAAACATTTTGGACCCATGGACTAGATGGAGGCCAGCAGACAGCAGACAGCACACCAAAGCCGTCTGGTCTGGTGTCTGGTAGCTGGTAGGGGTATCGTGTATCGTGGAGCAGGAGGGTGAATGGCAGCGGCGCAGCGGCCACTCGTTTTGGATTTTTTTTGTATTTTGGCGGGGGGCCCGCAGGATTGTGCGCCGAAATTCCGGCAAGATTGGATATTTTCTTCGGCGGCCGGCCTATCTGCGTTGGCGGCTTTGCCCCGAACTCGAAGCTATACCCCAAAAAAAATTCGGCGCTCCGCGCCGTTTTGTGCGATTTTCGGCGCAGCCCCGAAGCCCCGAAGGCTTTTCCCACCCTGGTAAGGAAGAGAGTGCTGAACTCTTCTCGCATTAAAAATCTAAGGCAAAGTACCGCAGGAGGGGAGGGGAGAGAGGGGCTCTTCTGTGTGACCACGGGTTGGAGTAAAAGGCACTAGTGCTGTGAGCGCTGATTTGAAGTGAAGACAAAAAAAAAAAAAAATGGTCTGTGACGGCGCGTATTCAAGCGGCTGTGGATGCTACACGTATCGACACAGATTTGCGGACATTTCGGGCCCCAGCCAGAGATCTGGCCGTGCCCTGGTAGCGATATCCTCTGGTATTCATTTCCCATCCCATCGAACAACACTTGTACCGCAGAGAACTTGTCGAAGCACCTACCATGTTCTCCTGTTTTGTATTGATTTTAGACTGATGGATTTTATGTCTTGGTGTTAGACAAGGTGTGTGGACACGTTGACTGCGAGATATGCTGCTACAAGCCCCAACCACTGCTCTGACGTTCGATCATTGGAGTGTTTTCTCGTTCACACGTCCCGACTGGTGCCTATACATCTGGTGTGTGATCGCTGAGCGCTCGTGCGGGCGTTCTCGAAATCAGCAGTCGGAATCAAATCATCAACAGGATCCTGCTTTGGTTAAGTTGACGTTATTGGTTCTGCGCCAGAGCCGGCTCGGGTACGCAGAGACCATCCCTTCGCCCGTTGAAACCAACATCCATTGTGGTACACACATACCGGCTAGCCCAGTAGCGTTCCGGATGAAGCACCGAGCTCCTTCATATATTTTGCGTCCCCAAAATCAAAAATACAAGAATACCCAAAACAAAACACCAACAACCATCGTGTGCGTGTGTGTGATTTCCACACAAGTCGTCAACAAACAAAGAGCGTGGTCGAAACCGGTACACCACGCTTTGCCGCTTGATTTCTGCACACGCGCGAGCAGGCAGCCATGTCCGGCAGCGGTGCCGCCGTTCGCTTCCTGCTGGACCGAGACATCTCAAGCCTCGAGGCCCGTGATCACGACGGCAGAACCGCGCTCCACCTTGCCTCCGGCCACCGCCTGGGCAGCGACGAGACCCTCCGCGCCCTTGTGGAATCCAACGGGAACATCGAAGCCAGAACTTTCCTCGGAGAGACCCCGCTCCATAAGGCGTGCAAGGCTCTGAGGGTGTCGGCGGTGGAGCAGCTCTTGCGGTTCGGGGCTAACGACGCCGCCGTGGATGCGGAGGGGCGAACCCCGGCCGCGATGACGGCCCGCCTGCTGCTGTCGCAGCGTCCCGGGATGTTCCGAGACATGCTGCAGAACATCCTGACGCTGCTTGAGGCCGCGCCGGGGGACAGGGTCTGGCGTCGGCGTGGCTGGTTGCTGATGCTTCGCCGAGTCGGCAGCAGCACGGCGACGGAACCGGGGTCGTGTCACGAAAAGGGCGTGGTTGCTGGCGCTCGAGCAACTCCTGCCGGCACCCGGGCGATTCCTGGGCTGTTCGGGGCGGAGAAGGAGGCATACGAGCACAAGGCGCGGCCCCGGAAGGTTGGGAAAGCTGGGGATGCCGCCGTGGCGCGAGCAACGCGGAAAGCGGCTGGCGGGAAGAGGGAGCAACATCACCCCTGGTGCTATCAGAGCACTACCGAGGCAGCCGGTGTTTGGAGTGGAGTCCACAGCGCGGCGGCAGAGTCCTGCAGGGATGAAGCGGGAGGGGACCGAGAACTGCGGTCTGTGGTGGAGAGAGCGGTCGACGTGGACGAAGACGGAGTGTTCAGGAACATCGTCGCCTTCCTCTAGAATGAGTGGGGTTACAGGTTAGGCTGTCGTTTTTTCTTGTCTTGATTTGTGTGCGTTTTTTTTTTTTTGAGTCTGGATCGTAGAGCTTGAGCAAATGCCATAGACCCTCTGTCAACTCTGCCGTAACGGTGAGTTCCACTAGTGGGGCTCTTCTTGCTTGGCGCACTTGGATACATACTAAGGTTTATTTGTTCATATGGTGCACATTGACCAATGACTCCTACGCAACAAATCGATATCTTGTTCGGGGGGGTCACGGAAAGGGGGTTCGCGCCATGCTACATCCAGTAGCTCAAACACCACGAGTTTGTGATTGCCGGTGCACTGCTGGAAAACTCACAGAGCATCGACGGGCACCATGTGACACTTGGGCCGACCGGTTGTTTTTTGCCATGCCATCTGTACCAGACCCCTGGCTTCCGTTTTCGTTGAACCTAACGACGTTTATTTACCTCCAACCCCTTCCCCGTACAGATCGGGAAGCTTCATTAGTACACGATGGTGACCGAAGAGGCCTGGAGCATCAGACGCCTCCTCGACGCAACATCATCGCGCATCATGGAGGGACTGTGATGTAAACCCTGGATTATTGGGTGCATCCCTGGCAATGGCAACTGCTGTGTGGAACAGTGTGCAGGGGCGCCATGCCATGATTGTGGAGGACCTTCACGGAAACATTAGGCAGGAGGTGATTGCGGCGTCTTTGGCGTCGAACCAGATAGTAACTCATCTACTTCAGGCGTCTTTGGCGTGTTTCTTTGAACAGTCAAGGACCAGTGATAAAATCTAAAATATGTTTGAGGGTTGGCTTGAGTGAGGTGGAGGATTGACGTGATGCTCCGTACGGTGAGCACCACTCACGGTGCGTTGTTAGCATCATGTTGGGATTGTGGTTTTGCGAAAAAAAATGATCGTGTTCAGGCGAGGTTTTCCGGTAAGCGCAGCGCGTTGCCACAGGATCGGGCGGCACGGCAGCATCGCCGCGGAGAGCTAGGCCACTCTCGCTCACGATCTGTTAAGTGTCCCGCACAATGTATCCTATTGGCAGGCACATCGCACACAAGCACGGTATCGGAAATCACGAGTAGGCTTTCTGCCAAATGGAGTATACCGCGCGAGAGAGCACCTGGTATCAGAAACTAGCAACTGCTGCTGTGTTGCTTGAGGGTTGGGTAGATGTATTGCCACTGCGGGGAAGCTTTCCGGGCAAGCTACACGCGCACACCATCAGCAGCGTGTGTATGGCGGTTACGGCGAGGGAGCTGGGGCTATTTTTCTTTGACGGAGAAATATCAAAGTAGGTCTTCGGGGGGGGGGGTGTACTCATAGTCGTGCATGCCGTAGTCGTTTGACCATTGACCTCGCATCCCTACAAAGCCGGGACGGAGCACGCCGGGTTCTCACCGGACCAGGCTCTCACATCACCAAGCGCGAAGCGCCGTGAGGTATTTGGCGAGTCCCATAAAGGGTGAGCTGCATCCTGTTAAGGGTTTTGGGCTTTTTGTGTTTATTTCCTGGGGTAGGGATGACAGTTACGTATGATTTAATTTTTTTTTGGGGGGGGGGGGGGGGAGTTCTGTTGGTTTTGGTACAGTACTATTTTGGAGGGCGGTTTTCACTACAGCACTCTTCATAAGGACGGAGATAGAAAGGGCGAAAGCCCTGGTTGTTTAACATTGTTCCTGTTCACGCGCAAAGGTAGAGGTAGGTAGGTAGGTAGGTACATCATACCGTGGGCATAGAGAGGACGGTGGGTGAACGGAGGCACTTTTAATAGGGATGCTAAGAGGTGAAGGAACAGGTAGGAGGGAGGGGGTTCCAAAACCACGCATCACGCGCGAGACCATTTACGTCTTCCTCACTGCGCAAACCGAGCTCAGTCGTAGCTCTTGCAGATTCGTGAGGAATTGGGTGCTGGCCCACAGCGTGTCGTAACGCGCTCTAATTTTGTGGGAGGCTCGGGTTGTAATTTTCTCTGTTGACCTTCATCAGCCACTGCATACACTCGGCTTGTAGGGTCGGTGGTCGCTCAACGAGCTCCACACAGCATGGGCTCCGAGTTCTTTCAAGTTTCAAAACAGTCGAGGCGAGTTGTTATCAATCAATCGTATCGCATGTTTTGAGCGACGGCGGGTATTGTTGCACGTCGTGTGCGTGTTGTTTTGGCGGTCGTGCGTTGTGAAGTGCGTGTTTTTTTGTGGTGTTGCGTGCGTGAAGCCTCAGTTGTTGATCTCAGTGGAACATTACGGTAGACCGAGGTTGAGCAGCAGCGTTGATGTTTGGTGAGTCGATGTTCGTTCGTGATTGCTCCGGTGTCCCACGATGAATCCAGTCATACGGAGTCGAGGATGAGGATGCTCTCGAGGGTATGGACACCACCCAATTCAGTATTTAATATTTAAGGTGTTCACACGTATTGATTTGTTGTCGTGCCCCCGGCATGGCTACGGCCGATAACTCCAGCAGTGGACAGTGGCGGTGGCGGCGGTATTTTGATGTTTTGCTATTTGGAGGCGAGGTAGGCGGCATGATGGGCGCCGAGAACATGCCGTGGCTTGAAGAAGAGAGTTTCGTTTCGCGCTACTGCTAGGGACTTGAAAAAAGACGTTTTGCTGTGTCAAGTAGTTCTTCTGTTGTACCATACATGGCTGCTGAAAGCCGTTTGGATCCAGCTGCTCGTGACTGCCACGGGCAGGTGCTTGTGTGTGTGTCCGGCGAAGAAACTTTTTTCGCCACTTGCATCATACGTTGTTTTTGACACAATCTTTGTCGCGTGGAGGGTGTCGTATTTTTGCAAAAAAAACGTCTTTCTTGTGTTTGTCTTGGTTTGTTTGGTGTTTGTCTTGGTTTGGTGTGCTTCGGTCGTATTCCCGTCCATGTTATTATTGCTGGACAGGCTGTTGAAGTGGCATCTCCCTCAACAGATGCGCACTTGTTCGGTCGGTAGAGAGCTGTTCATGTCTGTTTTCCCTAGACATTCACCTACACTACACAACAAGTCATAACGCAAGTGAGTCGAAGAGAGGGCGAGGTTGAGGTAGTGGCAGGTTAGGGTTGGAGGGTGCGGGAGGCGGGAAAGGAGGATGACGGGTGGAATGAATGGGTGGGCCCTGTTCGGGCTGTCGGTTAACTGTTGTTGATCTTTTTGAGTGGGAGTGTGGCGGGAGAGGAGAATACCGCGTGGAAATGGGTGAGCCTCGTTTGGTCTGTCGGTTGATGGTGTTGTCGCTCTTTTTAGTGGGCGTGTGGCGGGAGAGGAGAATGCCGCGTGGAATGGGTGGGCCCTGTTCGGGCTGTCGGTTAACTGTTGTTGATCTTTTTGAGTGGGAGTGTGGCGGGAGAGGAGAATACCGCGTGGAAATGGATAGCCTCGTTTGGGCTGTCGGTTAATGGTGTTGCCGCTCTTTTTTAGTGGGCGTGTGGCGGGAGAGGAGAATGCCGCGTGGAATGGGTGAGCCCTGTTTGGGCTGTCGGTTAATGATATTGCCGCTCTTTTTTAGTGGGCGGGTGGCGGGAGAGGGGAATGTCGCGTGGAATGGGTGAGCCTCATTTGGGCTGTCGGTTAATGGTGTCGGTTAATGATGTCACTTTTTGTAGTGGGTGTGTGGCGGGAGAGGGGAATGCCGCGTGGATTGGGTGGGCCTTGTTCGGCTGTCGGTTGTGACTGTTTTTGTCGCTATGTACCGTTGTTTTTTGTTGACGTTCGAAACCATTCTCGGATCTCTACGCTGTTCCTCGTCTGTGCTTATATTTCAGGGCAATGAAACGGAAGTTCTTGGCCACACGCTGCCCTAACATGTGGTACAACAATTTGTGAATTCTCAACACTTGCCAAGGTTACCAGGTTGGACAAGAAAAGGCCCAAGCTATCGGATAAAGTGGGCAAGGCCCTTTTGCTTCAGGCAGAAGCGAGTTGCAGTGCATACCGAAGCTCTTCTGTGCTACTATCATCTGTTGCGGAACACTCTCTCTGTGGTGACACAGACGTCGTGGTCGTCCTGGTCTGTTCCGCGATGGGGTTGTGTCCATCTTTCCAAGGTCCAGCTTGCTTGTCGTTGTTCCCGTCATGCCGACTCGTCGTGGGATGCAAGTCTTCGATATCGTTATGGCAACCATGGACCAAGACGGTTACCGCCCGCCCTTGTGTTGGTCGAGGCTTCTTACTGCTTTCCTAGGGTCATGCGACGAATGGCCGCTATATAGGTTTTAGTGTAGGGGTTCTTATCCGAAGTCGCAAATGGTGCTCGATCTACAGTAGCTCTGTTATTGTGAGTTTTCGAGGCTCGATTATTCGTGACTACCCAACTCTTGATAGCGGTATTGCTCTACCCCGAAACGGGGTGCCAAGTTTGTACGCACCCGGACGCCTAAATGGTCCACCGGGCCCATATCGCCTGAATGAACGAGCGGTATCCGATAAATAACCTGTATCTAGATATTGTTGCAACCAATATTCGTCGCTGCGTAACGAGCATCTCAACTGCAGCAGTACCCCTGGCGCATGAGGGTCACGCTACGAGCAGCGCTTACCAATAATACCGTCCGTCGCAAGCAGCGCGCGCAAAAACCTCTCGACACCTCCTGGACCTCAGCGCAGCAGTCCCTCCAGCCAACCGCCCGAGAAAAAACGCCTTGGTTTATAATTGCCCCGTCTAATGAGGAAGGTGGCTGCCCATATAGCACATGCAAGCCCGACCGTATGCCTCGTACCAGCAAACAATGTGGAAGAGTCTCTGTCACGGTGGATTTTCTGGGCATGTACCGGCACTAAACAGGAAAAAAGACGCGCGAACAAAACACGCACAAAATAAGCAAGCAGGGCCCCCTGAGAGAGACATCTAGATAAGCCAATAAAACGAAGAAAATCAAAAAGACACACGCCAAACAAAAATCACGGACAAACAAGCAGGTGAAATGCTTTCGGAAAAACGCTCGAGTGCGCATACAAAATACAGTATATCGACAGAACGTACAAAGACGTTGTGAATGTACCCTCGCTGCGCTGACTCCACCACCTCCGTTTTCGATTCCGCTGAGCCGCCGCCGCCGCCGCCGCCGCCGCCGCCGTAGCACTTGGATCTTAATCCTCGATCTTGACCATGGCCGCCGACGTCGCCTTCGTGGCACTTGGATCTCGATCTGCCCGCCTCCGTTTTCCATTCCGCTGAACCGGCCCCGCTGCCGCCGGCCCCGCTACCGCCTGCGCAGCTACCGCCTGCGTCGCTGCCGGCTCCGCTGCCGGCTCCACCGCCGCCGCCGTCGCCGCCGTCGCCGCCGCCCGCGCTGCAGCAACAACGTCCTCCTCAGATGTCAGCGGATGTTTCACAGTCTCCGCTACCGCTGCGATCGCGATAGCAGTCTCGCGGTGCCCGAGGTGCACCTCTTCCGCCCTTTCCTTCACCACCTTGATGGCCTTGGAAGCGACAAACTGCGCAACGCCTTGTTGGAGGGTCCCCATGTTGTCCCCGGACTTCACCAGGCTGCTGGATACCCAGAACTTGTATTTCGTTGGGCCCCCGTTGTCAAGCGGCGGCGGGAGGTTGGAGCGCTGGCGCATCGACTTGTCCGCCTCATAGCTTAGGCGATTAATGTCGGTCTGTGGTCGAGCATCCCCGATGTACAGATTGGACCGGAGGCGTCTCCAACTTTCGCAACGGAGGGGGGCCGTAGGCTCAGGAAAGCGGGTGTTAGGGTGTGTGTGTGTGTATTGACCCATCGTCGATGTTAAACACACACTGTGCTTGCGCGGGCCAGAGCACCGTGGCGCGATTTTCTTCCGTGCCCGGTGCGGAAATACAATGAACTAATGCACCAAGCTTTTCTCCAACGCACCCCTACACGGTGTAATGACTCGGACGGGGTGCAGTCTCTGCCGTACGTCATTGTGAGGGGGTGGGGACCCGGGAAGGACCGCCTCCGCGGGAAATTAAGAAGTATACGGAAACCGAACAGAAAGGGGGGACCGCAGACCCCATTCCCTAACCCTAACCGTAACCCAACTTCCCCGATTGTATGCTTAATAAATACAAACTGTGAAGGCTACTGCCCGGGAAGAGAGGAACCACCGTAGATTGAGCTGTGAAACATCGCTGCCATGCTTTGACAATGCGGCAGATCAATAGAAGCCTCGTGTTGTCGTGCCAATCAATACGGTATTCCAATGTAGTTTACTACAGTACCTGGTGAGTTGTGGTAGACTATAGGTCTAATACATATTGAATGTCAAACCAAAAACGCATGTACCGGCTACGATTCACCTCTTGAGGGTGCCCACCAGGCCTGAGTCTTCGACCGCGTCGATGCCTTTCACCCCCCACCACCACCTTCGTCTTTGTCTTTTTTCTCACCCGCCTCGGTCTGAGTGGAAGTTCGCCGCTGCTGTACTCGGAAGAATCGGACTCCTGCTGGTGTGCGGCGCCCTTTCCCTTCCCGTTGCCGGAGCCAACGGATTTTCTGCCGCGGTCGGGGCTGCTGCTGCTGCAGTCGGAGTTGCTGCTGCTGCCGGACTCCTCCTTCACCGCCTTCTCCACTCTCCCCTTCTTCTTCTTCTTCTTCTTCTTCTTCTTCTTCTTCTTCTTCTTCCTCACCTCCCTCGTCGAGTGCTCGCGCGCGTCGTGACACCTGGGTCTCTGGTTGGCTGAAGCTGCAGTGAAGGGTGGTCTGACGCTGGAGTCCACCTTGACTCAAACGAGGCTTGGGGACGAGTTCTGATGTCTGAAAAGGTCCTTGGCGGGTGACGGCGAGACTAAAGGGAGGCCTGACGCAAATGAAATAGGATAAGCCGTCGCAAATCGCGCATTTCAGCTCATTGTTGGGGTAGAAAATAGCGAGGTCCTTGGGGCGAGAGCCGCTGATGCACTCCACGAGGGATGTGCCACAGGTCGGCAAAGAGAATTTCCGACTGTTTCACTGTCATCTCAGTGCCGTTGTCGCCACTGACAGGGAACCGTGCCTCCGTCCCTTCGCCGTCAGCGTACGAGGCGAAGTCTCGGAAGCATATCTCCGCCTGGTGCGGGTCATCAGGCGCTTGCGGTCCGTTCCTCCTCTCGGCCTCCTCCTGCTTCGCCTTCCGTCCAGCTTCGTATATTTGTCGTATCCTGGAGTCGCTGTCTTCTTCCGTCACGCCTAAAGACCCGGATGGGTCGCGAGCCCAGAGAGAGGAGATTAGAGAAGGAACACGAAAAGAAAGAACATGTGGGCGGTCATTGAGTCAAGGTAGGCGGGGGGATTGAGCAATGTTTACCTACATGCCGTAAGGATGCGAGAGAACGCGCGGGAGTGCGATCGATTGTTACGGTTTAACACGATTACATGGAGTTGCACCCTTTGAGAATTTAGCGTTATCCCCATAGGGTGGTTGAGAGTTCTGTATATTTACAGGGCCCCGTGTCTTGAGCTCGCGCGACCCCGCGAGCTCATTCCTTGTTTGAACTCCTGTTTGAGCGTGTCAGTGCTTAGCAATAATCAAAGCAAAACCCTTATCTACGACCAACGATCTGCTCCCATACCCACAAGCCACCTTCGAGGCTCACACTACAGCCGTCCAAGCGTGTCCACCGAACTCGGTACCGATCGAGAGGCTGCTGTCGGAAGAGGTCTGAGTTACCATTGCATGCGGATCCTGTGGTCTCTCTCCCTTGGATTAGCTCTCGTGACCATTTCAGGGTCCTGGAGGGATGGATGTCCTGAGACCGCCGTTGCTACACCTCAACTAGTCCCGGGATCACCCAAAACCTTACCCTCTCTTCCGTTTCACGATTTCAAAATCATTCCGTTCTTGGCTTTTTATTCGCATGGGGGTGCGATAGATAGGGCGGTCGATGCTATCAATACAATAAAAACACAGACACACACACACACATTGGTCTTCCAGGGACCTTGATTTTACCTGCTGACACTGACGTATTTTCATTGGCCAGCCGATTAGCGCGGTCGACGCGAAAAGCAAACCTCCCACGTTGGTCC